CTGTGACTGGGCCCGAGCTGTGTTAAGGCTGGAAACTCCCCCCGTGTCCCTCTCCCTGCCCCTGTTGTCCAGCAGCACTGTGAGGCTGCAGACCCCCTCCCCAGCTCTTTGTGCCATGCTCCTGTTGGTGGGGCTGGCCTGGTGCAGTAGGGAATACTGTGCTGCTTCAGGGACAGTGCAGTGTCCCTGGCTGTGCCGCCATCATCACAGCTGATCCATGAGGGTGTGCTGCTTTCCCTGCCCTTTGTGTGGCAGTAATTCCTTCTGTCAGGCTGGACACTCACCTTGCTGCTCTCACCAACCTGCCCTTGGGCACCTGGCATGTGGAGGGCAGCTCAGACTCTGCCTGGAGCTCTGAGAGACACGGCTGGTGCCAGCCAGAGCGGGTTCCAAACCTGCTCTGTCTCATCTCCTGTGTGGGCACAGATCCAGCCCAGCAGTGGAGTCAGGGCAATTCCCCCTCCCCACCCACAAACGTCCCTTTGCTGACTGGAGCTCACTTGACTGGAGATGTCCTGGTGCTGGGGCTCTGTCAGGAGATCTCTGTGTTCTTCTGGGGAGGGGTCTGTGAGGCCAGACAGAGAAAACAAGTGCTAATTAAAAAGAGAGCACTGAAGCTTGGGCCCACTCCTGTGCGCTTCAGCCTTGGCACAGAGCTGCTTTCCTGCCTCCCTCGGACTCACCCGGCAGGGACATCTCCACATGGTGGGTTGTGAGTGTTGTGCAAGGATGGGTCAGGGGGGTTCTGATAACTCCTCCCCGCTCTCTGCAAAGGTCACCAGCTCAATCCAGTGAAACTAAAGAGGAAACAAATGCCCAAAGAGCAGAAATCCCCAAACATGTCACATCAAATCACAGAGAAGGTAATGGGACAGAGCCACGTGGCTGCAGCATGTGCATTCTGCTCTATATCATTAATTTACTGATGTTAAATATTTCAGCAGATAACTTCCAGGGCTTCCAGAACTGTCCTGGTGGCTGTGATCACAAATTATTCATCAGTAGCGAGTGAACAAGAAAAGCCTCTATGAACAAGTGCATTTCTGAGGCTCTTGGTGTTTTTTACCTTTCAGCTGATTCCCTCTGCCTTCCAGAAGATGTCTCTCACCATCAAGCAGAGGCTGGCCAGCACTAAGAAGCTGAGTCTGCCCCAGATTGTCCAGCCTCAACACAAGCATGGACATCCCATCACAAGGTAGCCTTTCCCTGCCCTTCTCCTTGCTGTTTGATGTGATATTTGAGGAGGATGCCAAAAGAGCAGCTTGGCTTGAGCCTGCTCCACGTGGTCCAGCAGCTTTTGATCAGCCCAGGGCAGAGGTGGAAGAGCCACTGTTTGCCCAGTGTGGGCTGGGCAGATGTGCTCACTGTGCTTCCCTACTTCCCTGGGGATCAGAGCAGAATCTTCCTCCCAGCACCTGAACCTCTCCCTGCTCTCTCTTGCCTCTCCAGCTCTCAGCAGTTGGCCTGGATCACAGCTCACCTCAGCCTTGCCCACCAGAGGTGGTGTTTCAGAACTGCACCCCTGGTGAGGTCTGTGAAGTGCCGCTGGATCTGAGGAACAGGGACAAGGTAAGTGCTGGGACGTGGAGGTTTAACACTGAGCTGGGTGGTTAAGGATGGCACCAGGGCACATCCACCTGTTCCTACAAATGGCAAAACCATCATTCCATGTCTCTCCTGCAGGTTCCTCACTTGGTGAAGGTCACCTTGGAGAGCTCACCTTATTTCCAGCTGGTGGGCCCCAATGATGTGTGCTGTAACATGCCACCGGGCCTCTCTATGACCTTTCATGTCCTCTTCACCCCTGGGCAGAACAAGGTGAGTTGGAAGGGCCCAAGAGATTGGTGTCTTCAGTGGAAAGTGGACATTCAAGGCTGAATTCAGGGCATCTGGCTTGGATTTTGAGGACCTGTGCAGATTTCAGTGGAGTTGCACTGGATCTAGAACTGGGAGATTCTCTTTGCCCATGCTGAAGATGGGGATAAATGTCCTGTGCTGAGACAGTTCCTTTTCCTGCAGGATTATTTCCACCAACTCCTCTCTGTCACTGAAAGGGAAGAGTTCATTGTGCCAGTTTGTGCCATTGGTACCTGAGCCATCCCAGACTTCCCTGGCCAGCTGGACTTCCCCGTCTGTCAGGTTTACAGTCTTTGGCATTGCGGAACTCAGAGCGCAAAACAAAGCACCTATGGAGCTGCTTCAGGATTTTACCTCCAAATATGACTGGATCTTAGTTGGATCTGCACTCAGAGGCACGAGAAAGCCTGCTGGGGCATGTAAGGAGCTCAAGTGACACAGGGGGAGGGTGGCATGAGCCTTTCAGCCCTTGCTCCTTGCCAGGTGCAAGGGAACCCTGCAGGGCACGGGAGAAGAGAGAGGGACTGCATCAAAGGAGGTTTGATGGGGATGGCTCAGGGGACAGACAGGCTGAGAAGACAGCCTCTCATCTAGAAGAAAACATCAGACCACATCACCTCCTAACTTCCTTGCGCTCAAAATCTCGAGCCTCCAGCCCTGGGGTGCAGTGTGTCCTCCCGAGGGCTCCCCAGGCAGCCCCAGCAGAGCCCGAGGTGAGCACAGCTCTGCTGCTAACAGGAGTGGCCCTCTGCCAGCAAGAGCCACGCTGAGCAAACAAAAGCTCTTTTGCCAGCTGCCTTGTAAATAAATTTCATTTGACTATATTACTTGCCTTGGTTTTATAAGATGACACAACATTTTACTTGGTATAGTCAGCAGGATGTCAATAGAGAGGGTTCTGGGGAGTCGGGGCTGTGTCTCTTCTCCTTTAGGGATGGAATGGGTGGAGGAGGAGGGGTTGGACCTGGAGGAGGAGGTAGAGAGACACAGCAGAGGACATGGCAAAGAGCGTGTGTGCCACCTTGGGAGCGCGCCTGGTACAGCACAGGCACACTGTGGTTACTCCAGAAGACGGGAAAAAGAGAAACAGCTGGAGACAGATGTCTTGAAAGAACCAACAGGGAAGGAGAGCAAATACGTTTATTGGAATGAAGGATTGAAATAAAGCTGTCAAAACAAACAAACAAAAAACCCAAAAACCCAAAAACAGCAACAAAAAAACCCACCCCAAACAAGAGGATTATCCACTTCTGGATGGTGATAGCAGATGTGGATCCAGGGGACTGGTATGGGCATATTTGGGGAGATTCTGGTGAAGGGTTTCTGAAGGATTAGGGGAGTTAGAGGAAAGAAGCATGTGGCCCCTTATTTAAAAAGATCTGTAGGTCCATGTGGGCAATGTTCCCTCTCCCTCTACGTGCCCAGCCCCATGGGTGGGACTGGAACTTGGTGCACTGCAACCTAAGCTTTAGTGCAGCCCAGGGTAAACAGAAACAGGGTGTTTGTGGAGAGTCTGTGGCTGGGATGGTGGGAAGTGACAAAGAATTGGGCGGGTTTGGGGCTCCTGGAGCGGTTTTGAGCGACGGGCCAGCAGGTGTGTCACTGAGTGGTTTAGGTCAGTGAAAGAACCAGACGAGGTGTCGGGGCAGTGCCCACAGCAGCGAGGCTGGCAGAGCTCAGAAGAGTTGCACAGTGCTCTCAGGCACACGGTGTGATGTTGGGGCTGTCCTGCACAGGGCCAGGAGCTGCAGTCATCCTTGGGAGTCCCTTCCAGTGCAGGATAAACTCTGATAAAGGCAGTCACTTTTCCCATTTCCTGCTAAATTAAGGAAGTGAGCAACCATACCTCAGGGAATGAAGAGGTTAATTCTGTAGGAAGGCACCTTACTTTGCCAGCAAATAAACCTTTGCTGCTGCTGCTCAGTGCAAACATTCTCCTTCTCTTTCACCTTTCTGTACTCTAATCCAGCCTGTACCCTTGCAATATTTTTCTTCTGACTATTTCGGGTTGTCACATTTCTGTGCATTATCAAATCTCAGCCCAAGAAGGGGACTTGAAGAATGTTTATTGTAAATGGCTTTTATGATTCTAAGAGAAAACCTTAAGTTCATAACAATTCCTCTAAAGATTAATAGTGACTCCCTTTTTGGGTTCTGTACCTATTTTGAGCTCCTTTTTCTTTTTTCTTTTAGATTTTGGGGGTTTTTTTTCAGTCTCTTGAAAGTTTTTATGTAATGATATGACGGCTTTTGGCCCAGAGGGTTAATAATTTTATTTAAGATGATGTATTTTTACCCAGCATCCCCATTCACCGAGCCGCAGAGCTCAAGCACCAAAGAAGTCATGTATTCCCTAAGTAGCCCATTTCCAACATTGTAGCACAAGACCACCTACCAGCTCAGCTTTCCAGCCACACAAGAAATCTAGGAATGTAACTGCCCACGGCCCATTTAGGCATGCAAACCTAAATCCTGACAACTCCTGTACCCTCACGAGTCCTCTCTGTGGCTGCTGCTCCAGGGGATGTGGGAGGGCTCCAGCGAGACCCAAACCACGCTTTTTAGACCACTTACATGTTCACAAGTATTTATTTGAAGGCGTTTTCCTACCACCCCACACCTTCTTTGCTAACTTCACTGCAACCAAGCCGAGCATTTTTTAAAAAAATCGTCACTGTACAGCTCTTATGGAGGGACTAAAATTGACTTCAGGACCTGCGGCGCTGTGGCTGGGACCACCCACGGGCCCACTCAGGGCCTCAGGTCCTGCTCTGGCCCAGAGGGTACAACCCTGTCCCCGAGGGGTAAAGTCCTGTCCCAAACGGGGACAACCCTGTCCCAAAAGGGTTCAACCCGTCCCTGAGGGGCTCAACCCCGTCCCCGTTTCTCCCCGGGCGCAGGGCCCCGCTCCGCTCCCCCACCATCCCACAATGCTCCGGGGCGCCGCCGCGGGGCCAGCGGCGCGCGGGCCCCTTCCCTCATTCAAATGAGCCACCGCGGGGTGCGACGCGGGACTTGTCGGGAGTTGTAGTTCCACTTCCCCCTCCCAGTGCGCCACCGGCGTGCCGGTGTGACTCGCTGTCCCGGCATGCCGCGGGGCCGGGCGGAGTGGGGCGGGGCAGAAGCGCGGGCGAGGGAGGCTGAGGGGGCTCGCGCCGCGCACGGGGCCGCCGCCGCCGCCGCCATAGTGGGAGCCGCGGGTGAGTGCGGGGGGCGCGACCGGGAGTGGCGGCGGGACCGGCCGCTGCGGCGGGGCCGCGGCATCGCGGGGAGCCCCGGCGCTCCCCGGGTGTGCTGTGCCCGGCGGGCCCCGGCGCTGCCCTCGGAGAGGCTTCTCGGCCCGGTGCCCGTCGTGCTCCGGTCTTGCTTTGCCGCGGCTCGGTATCGCAGGGAGGAGAGTTAAAGGGGGTGAACGGGGAGCTGCGAGGAGGTGGTTTGTGCAGGGCGGAAGGTGTGCTGTGTTTTAATGTTCTTGCTGTTTTCTGTCTTGCCAGAAGATTGTGAGAGGACTGAAGTTACCTGACATGGTTGAATCACTTTGTCACAATGAACGTGAAAGGTTCATGCTTCCTTGGAGTGAAACTAGCAAACGTGCTCAGTGATCTGCTGCAACCATGTAGATTTTACACTGAGTTGCTGTTTTCAAGTATAATGTGCAAGAGAGAAATTTTTTTTTTTTGCCTTCTCTGGCTGTTGTCACTTTTCAGCTTTGAGAACAATCAAAACCTGCTAAGGTGTGCTATAGCAAGGAGTGTGTGTTACATTCAGTTAATGTGAGATAGCTTTCTGAAGACATTTAAATCCCCAAAAGCCTGTTCTTGCAATTCAAATTGAACTTCCTGTCTGTGGCAGGCTGAAATAATAATTCAGCTCATTTGAAGTCCATAATTTCCAGTGTAAATATATCTTGGAGCTGGACATGCTGCACTGAACTGGGAAAAAAAGCCCAGGTAAATGCTTGGGCAGGAATTGGTTGCAGAAACGTTGCTTGAAAGTGAATTCTGATTCCTTAATCAGCTGCCATCTCTTTTGCCTTGAAAAGTTGTGTTCAAGCAGTGATTTCTGTATTTGTGTGCAGTGACTTTACGTTTTCTTTCAGCAGCAACAAAACAAAAGGCATTTCCCAGACCTTCACCTAAAAGTAGCAAAATTTCTGTATATAGTGAAATGCCTGATCTCATTTAAACTAAGGTGATATTTTGGCTCACTTTTGGACTATTTAACTATTTTCCCACTGGGCCCCTAATTATTATTTGTCTAAAAGTTTGCAAGTTACTTGTTGGATGATTTGAAATATATTTGTTTCACATTTGTTCAGGACTTTAGAAAAATGCAAATGGTAACAGCTTTCTGCAGTTCTCTCTGCTGGGATTTCTTTTGTCCCAGTTCATAAGAGCATGATTTACTTAGTGAAAGGGTCGAGTATGATTAGTTTAGGAATTGCAATATATACTGATAGCTGGTAACATTGCAAGTATGATTCTTTTAGGTTGTTTTGAAACTTATAGATATTGTGGCAAGTTTGGCCATTCAGTGTTTTGTTACTGTGTCTCTAAGGTAAAGAAAAACAGGGTGTAGCAGTTCTCCCCTCCAGTTCCCCTGTGCCTCCCGGTTTAGTTTTGGTTTTTTTTTGTTTTTTTTTTTTTAAACTGAGCAGTCCTGCATTCATTTTGGGGAAAGGAAATGTGGCTTCAGCCTTGTGAACTTGAATTCAATTTTTGGCTTACGTGAAGAATATTCTGGAAAAAAAGGCAGTTGTGTAGCATTGTGGATTTTGCTTAACAACAAAACATATGTCCTCTGCAGTTAGGTGTAATATATGTCTGTGTATTTGAAAATCTTCCTGACTGACTCTGTGTGGCTCTCTTGGGTTGTCAGGTTGCAGTTGGGATGAGCACTGAGCTGCAGGCACAGTGAAAGCTTTCCCAGAGTCTTCCTCAGGTGCTTTGTGTACTAGTGGCCTTACACTTGCTGACATTTCTAACAAAAAAAGATGTGCTTCAGGTTGGCATAATTTCTTCATTAATTCGTTTTAATAAAGCTGGAGTAGAAGAATAAAAAGACTAAGAAGGGGAAAATAAATGTATTTCCCAGAAGGAAATAGTCTGGACCTTGACATCTTCCCCATTCTGTTCTCCCTTTCCATCCTTTCACTGTTGACATATCTAGACTTAATTATTTTTAGTTCTAAAAGCATATTTAGGATAATGTAACTTCTTGCACAGAGCAGTCCATGGCAATTACTTGGTGGAGGTCTCTGAAGTCAGTGGTTTCTGATTGGCCTTGAGCTGTAGTTCACAGAGGGTTCTCCTCTGTGGATCAGTCAGCTGCTGTGGAGATAATTGTGAAATACGTCAGAGAAACACTTCTTTCCTTCAGTCTCTGAATGCATAAATTTGTTCCTCAACTGGAAATGTTACAGGTTTTCAAATGAGAAAGGTTGACTGCTGAATTGGCATTTACCAGGCAGAGCTGCAGTGTGTTGAGGATAAATGGCTGATGAGGCATGATGCCCCTCAGTAAGTTCCAGTGTTTCTGCATCCCTGTGCTGCTGGGCACTCTGCCTGGCCTGGGCTTGTTTAGCCTAGGAAAGGCTTGAGTAGAGCTCAGTCACAGCCTCCAGGCTCAGGCCATTAGCAGGAGAATGGAGCCAGGCTTTTCTCAGGATACCTGATGGCAGGGCAGGACACAGGGGGCATGGCTGGAACAGATGGGATTCGGGCAGGGCACAGAACAGCTGCCCTCTGTCTGAGGGCAGTCAGGCAGTGGAACAGGTTTGTCCTCCTGCTTTGAGCTGGAGGAGGTCCCTTGCAAACCTGCATTATTCTGGGATAATTTGCATAGTTCCTCTGTTGGGAGTGTATCCTTTGATAAAGGAGGATGATCTGTTATCTGTTATCAGTGGTTGTTGGTGGAGTTGAATAGAAAGAAGATTAACTGGTCCTGTGATGCTGGTTCCATTGTGTTCCTAGAAAGTGCACACTGGAGACACTTCTGTCTGCAAGTTTTAGTGGCAAAAGAAAAGCAATTGAAGGAGAAATAGCCTAAAACTGTTGGCTGCTTTACTTTACTTACCAGTCTGAAGACTGCTGACTCTCTAATCTAAGTAATCTAAAATACCTGTATGGTAGAAATAGCAAGAGTATCAGGAACTGAAAAAGCTGAGAGTGCTTTCACTGTCCTTATTTGCTCCTGGTAATCAGTAGTGAAGGGTGCAGCCACTGATGGTCAGGACCATGTTTGCTGTGGATTCACATGTGTCACTGGACCAGCAGCACAGATTTAACTGCAGTGTTGGTGCTCATTTGTTCCACTGATTCTCAAATCTTCCAGAAAACAGGCTTGAATTCAATCTTAAGAGAGAGAAACTTTGATGGTGTTGGGCTTGCTTTACTATCCTGGGAGCAGGGTTTATTTATGCTGAGATTGCTTGTGGAATAGATATAGTCATAACTGGATAATAGAAGGCAATTTTCTCCACTAGCACTAGAATGTATTGGTTTGAGGTTTTTCCTCTTTAAATTTAGTGGGTTTTTTCTTAGTGTTTTGCAGACCAGAAAAACTTTACAGACCTTCTGTGCCTCTCTGGTTGTTCTTCATTGATTCTTTGCATACAGCTTGTTTTTCAGATGTGGCAATCCCTGGCAGACCACCTCTGTTTTTCTTTAGCAAATTATATTCTACTATTGCTCATGCTAGTTTTTGTTGACTTTTTCAGAAAATGTAATATTCTTTTAGAATCACGGGCCTACCTTGCTCCAGTTCAGAATGACTTAATTTTTTTAATTGATAGCAGCAAGCTTACATGTGTCCAGGTCAGATAATGTGGTAAAGCATAGCTGCTGGCTGAAGCAACTTTTTGTTATTTCTCCATATTGCAGAGCTGTGACAGTAGCTCACCTGCTCCAAATGTCACTGGCTCTTATGTGTTTCAGAGAAGGCAATCTCTTTATTAGTCTCATTTTCCCAAGTAAAAAAGTGACTTTTCCTCAAGCTGTCCCTCTGAGTAGCTCTGGTGGTGCTGCATGAGCAGAAAGATGGACTTTGTGCTGCAGCAAACCGACAGAATCATGTGTTTTGTAGCTTGTGAAGGAAGCAGTAGGAGGAGGATTCGTCGAGACAGGTGGCAGAAAATGAGTCTCTTAAGGACTGAGCTGCCCTTGGGAGTTAGAGCAGTGTTGGTCTGCTCGTGCTAATCTCACACCCAGAGCTAAGGCAGGAGGGATGGAAGAGGGGTGAGTGTAGACAGAGACACCAAACCTGGGACAAGCAACGGAGAAGATTCTGTATTTTTGGATTTTGTGGATGAAAATGTCTGCCTGAGCAACCCTAGTTTTCTCAAGGTCACTCAGGGCCCATTAGGAGGCTCTGTTCTCTTCTAGGTCTCTGTCTTAGGGGTGCAGCTTTCTCTTCAGTGCTGCTGCTCCCTGGGTCCTGCAGCTTGTCCTGCTCTTGGTGCAGTCTGCCACGAGCCAAAGCAGATGGCTGCAAAGCAACCACCAGGGTGCCCTGGTACCTTGTAGGATGAGATGTGTAGGGATTGTGGTGAGAGATGTGTAGAGGGGTGGGATCTACTCTTGACATGTCAGTGTACAGCCTGGCAAAGGTATTGGACAGTTTTATTTTGATGTCGCTGCAAAAGGTCCCTGCAGAGAAGCCCTTCAGTTCAGCAGTGTCAGCATATACCTGTTGAAGACAGAGTTGCTGGGAGCTGCAGCTTTTGTGCCCTGTATTGGGTTTCTGCTTCAGCACTGACTGCTGGGTGGTATTTGGGGTGGGGATAAATTCTCTAGTACGAGCAGAGTCCAAGAAATAGAGTGATTAATGTGAATTAAGTATTACACTGTATGCTGGTAGCTCAGCTGTACAGCTGTGCCTTGTGAAGAAGCTGTGAATCAAATGGACCATGATGTTCTTAAGTGCATGTGAGGAGGCAGGCTTGGTTTGAAGTGACAAAGGCAAGAAATTAATTAGCTTAAGGAAGTTATCTCCTTTTCCATGGGGAATTAAGATGGAATATCCAGTATGCACTTACACAATAGTAACTTTTAGCAGGTGCCTTTAAAAGGACACGTGTCCTTTTTAAGCAACATCTTAGGAGCTTTCTAGTTTATTGAGACTTCTTTTATCTGCTGTTATATTAAGTGAATATTTTTATTTCTGTAACCATGGACAGAGTTGAGTGAACCACAGATGGATTTGGCTGAATGGCTCTGAAGCATCCCTGTGTTGCCCTAGGGTTTGACAATATCAGAACCTGTGCTTTCCTCATGGGTTTGCAATAGATCTTAAAGCCTTTTATATTATATTCATCTCATTAAAATACAGTACTGATAAGTGTATCAATACAGTCTTACATGGGTTGTGTCTCACTGAAAGGGACTGGGCTTGATGACACAGATCATTCCCATCTTGTTCTTTCTTTAGGTACATCTCTAAGCCTCTTACATCTGTAATGACAGGCAGAAAACACAAGACAGCATGGAGGAAAAGGTGACAAATCAGAAAAGGAAAATAAACCTTTCCAGGAAGAATGAGTGTTCAGCAAAACTATATATGAATGGCACAGACAGGAGAGTAAGGTTGTAGCAAACAAAAACAATTAGTCAAGGATCATTAATTTCAACACATTTTATTTTAGCTTGTTCTCATTTCTGAGAAAATCAACATTATAACTGGTCAAATTTATTCTGTTTTTTATTTTATTTAATAGTATTTTACTGTTCAAAACACAAATACTTTTATTAGGAGACGATAGCAGCTAACATATTAATTTTTAGATCTAGAAACCGTAGCTGTACTTTCCATACTTAAAATAAGAATTCCTTCATTCCTTGCAGTCTCTAAGGCTTTCTCACAGTTTCAGGATTGAACAGAAGGCATCTGGTGCTTGAGTGAGGCTGTTGTGCCTTGAGGGACTAAATGAGGTGCAGTGCTGGCATGCAGCTTGATCTTGGCTTTGTGTGATGGTACAGGGAGCTGTTAGGGGTGAATGCACATCTCGTGTGTGGGGAAGTTTAATGTGGCAACAGCTACCTTGCTTTAGCTTCAGAAGAACAAGCTGGTGGTTATTTTTTGTCCTCGACTTCAGTGTTAGATGTGTGACTGCTGAGAGTCAATAGTGTCAACTAGATTTGCCCTAAAATGTTTAGGAATATCTGACAGTGATGTAACTTCATGTGTTGGGATTGAAGCTTGATCCATACAAAGTGAATCAACGTGATTGTCACCTGTGCTGATTGTTGGCTCCACTGCAGCCATCCCAAACTAGGTACCCACAGGTCTGGAATGGAAACTGCAGGCATCAAACTTAAGTCCTACTACTTCTGGTTTCCAAATATGACATGAGTCCTACCTCTCAGCAGGGTGGGCACTCAGTAGAGTTTCCAAGGAGTTGCTGCCATGGTTTTAGGGTAGTTTTTCTTCAGCATAAAATCCCCTAATACAGGCTGAAGTTATTTGATTTCTGGATCAACTCCAGGTTAAGCTGGTATGCAGCAATTATGGATGTGAAATCAATACAAGCTTTTCACTTGTAAAGAACTAGTTTTAAGTTGTTTGGGAGGTGATTGTGGGGTTGGTTTTGTTGGGTTTTTTTTCTTAATCTGTTGTACTTGGGTGATTTTTTAATTTGCTATGTGTTTTCCCAGAGGAGTGGCCACACTGGGTAAACTCCTCCAGACTGAGGTATGTACTGCAAGTGTCAGTGGAGAGCTCATGATGGTGACTAACACCAGACTGTAGGTCTCTTTGGAGCAGTTGAAACAATAGTGATGTGGCAACAAGACTTTGAATTTTTGTGTTGGTGTGCAGGCTTGGTGACTTTGATGTTGACCATACTGCCTAGCTGTCTGATTGTGAAATAAGGGTTTAAAGCTGTGGTAGCAGTTGTTCTTGGTAGTCGAATTTACCACCCTGAAAACACAGATGCTACCTGCTGTTAGGCCATTGATCTGACAAAAGAGATTTGCTCTTCTGTAAGTCTGGCCAAATCTGTATGACCTTAATACTTCCAGCCTAGAGTCTGAACCCATTTCAGTTCCCATTTGTATGAGTAAAGCTCAGAGGCCTCAAATATAAAAAGAGCTTTCTTGTCCTACTGTGCACAGAAAGCTGGGCCTGGGAGTATCCTCTGTGCAGATCTTGGGAATGTGTCTTTTGCTTCTCTTAGGAATTTCTTAAATCTTACACAGGTGTGTGAGTAATTGACAGCTAAAGGAAGCCTAAAACAGAATTACATGCCTTTCTAGGCTTGCAGTGCAATTTAAACCTGTAACTCCAAGGTTCCTGGACATTGATTGTGAAGAGGGACTAGTGGCTGACAAATGTAGATGTTAAGCAAGTATAGTTTGCTTGAAGTGAACTCAGGTCTTAAAATATAATGTAGTGGGGTTTGACTGCAGCATTTTTGTGTTTTGAATTTTAGCACAATTCTTCAGACTTTCAGAGTGAGATCAGGATAAATAAAAATGAATTTGCTTTCTTGAAAAATGTGATGGGATAGAGCCGTCTGTCCAGACTGCTGTGCATGCTCTATGCTGAACCCCTCTGGAATGGAGGGACTTGTGTTCAGAAGTGTGGGATGCCTTCAGCACCTTCACTAGGAACTGCAGATTCTCACCACTATGAAAAATCATGGTTTGTGTCTTGAAGTCATCACAGGTTCAAAGATAAACATGGAGTCTACTTCAGCCTCATTGACAGAAGAGGATGGGCAGTAAGCTTGTGTTGAACAACGGGCTAGTGAATTAATTCTTGTTATGTGCCATTGACAGGACACTCTTAGAATGGCCTGTGGATGGTGAGATACCTGAGGAGCTAAATACATGAATCAGTTGGTGTAAGCCACTTGCAGGCAATCCATGTTAACAGGTCAGTTGTTTACAGTAAATGAGATCAAGTTGAAACAGTGAGCACTTGCCAGCTTGTTCAGATGGTGTAACTTCTGAAATATGTGAAGACAAGGTGGTAGCACTTGGTTTTGTTCTTGTTCTCCACTTTTGTACATGAGATGTGACCTTACACTGAAATAGCATTACAAACCAAATATATAATTAGAAATTAAACCATTCAGTATCCAAGACTTTTATTTACAAGTCTGGGATACAGAGGTGAGTTTGTCCTACTTATCCCAAAGAAAAATTCAGGCCAGTTGAGAGGATCTGTGTTTCTTGATGCCAATACTCAAGCCAAGTGTTAGACTTATTCCTGTTGTCTTTCTGATGATTTTGTTTGCTTCTTTTGTAGTCACTGGCTCTGGTTGAGGATTCAGAATGGGAGACAAGCCTATCTGGGAGCAGATTGGATCCAGCTTTGTACAACATTACTACCAGCTTTTTGATGCAGACAGGACTCAGTTAGGAGCAATATATGTAAGTATCCACAGAAAGGGAGCTGGGACTCTGTCCCATTATCTGTCTGGGATTCCCTGTTTTGATGTGCGAGAATACACAGGGTGGGACAGTGGGCTTTGTCCTGACTCCAGAATGCCAGTCAGTGCAACCACACTCACTTTTATTTATTGCTTTTCTTTTATGTCTCACTTCTATTTTGAGCTTTGTTTGCGTTTTAGGCAGTCATACTCACAAAAGCCCTGTTTAGCTGTAGGCAGTGATTTGTTTTGGAGGGGTTTGATGATAATCCTGTGAAGAAGTGCTCTGTAAAAGCAAACATTCTAGTCTTAGTTTGCCATTAATTTACAGGCATGGATTTGCTTGCATCCCTCTTGAAGTGGGATGTAATTTAAGTCCTACCCTGTGTTTAGCAGTTCTTGCAGGTGTTTTTTGGACCTCATGCTATATTAATCATCTGAACAGTAAAATAGATTTACAGTTTTAAATCCAGTTTAAAATGTAGAATAACATGTTAAATAACTTTAAATTTAGCTTAAATTTCCTCAAACATTAAGTTTTTATTTTTGCTTCTTATTTGGGGTGAAGCAGGCTGGGATACCAGAATTAAAACTGTAATTCACAAACCCAAGGAACATCAGCTTTTAGTTTTGGGGGAAGGTTCCTCCAGAGCACGGAAAGTGCTCTGTGTGTGGAGTTGATTGCTGATGGTGAGGAATGCTGCTGTGTGGCTGAGGACTTGCACCAAGATGTTCAAGGCTGACAAGTCTTCTAGCAGCATATCCTGTTTTTCTGGCTGGTTTTTCATCTGCTGGATGAGCAATTCAGCAAGCTCTTGAGGATTGAAATGGTTCAACACCCTCTGATACCCCTCTTTATACCTCAGCAATATCCAGCAGCACTGATACCATTTGCTCTTGGGATTGTTGTGTACTTGCTACATGCCAGATTGTTGGTTTACTTTGCCCAAGAAGCTGTGTACAGAGCCCTAGAGAGAAAGAAAACCAAGCAGTTTGTGTTCCAACCACAGCACTAAATATGAAGGCTCTTAGTAGTTTGTATTTTATTCCAAAGTACATTCGGTCCTCAAAGTGGTGTTAAGTACAGACTAATTTAAATTCCTGGATTTAGGGCCTTCCACACAGTGAACTCCTGGCTTTTTTTCACCCGTAGGGTCTTTCTGCCTTCCATCATTCAATGAAGAGTCCTGTGCACGTGTAATTGGGAGAATTATTATGCAGGTCACTGATGTGTGTTGTTTTGTGCAGCTCCTCAACTGTGGAGAAAACACACCCTGTTTTGTGTTGCTGGTAGACTTATGATACTGAAATATAGTGTACTTAATTTTTAGTTGATTGTTCCAAACTTCTTCAATTGATTTTGCTGGTTTCTTTCTATATGTCCCTTTGAGGTAGTTTTCAAATAGCTGGATTCTGAGGATTTCTGCTAAATACATAAAGTCTCTTATCAGGATTGCTTAAGGGCTACCTAAGTTGATGACATTTCTCTTTTTCCCCCAGATTGATGCATCATGCCTTACGTGGGAAGGACAGCAGTTCCAGGGCAAAGCAGCCATTGTTGAAAAACTCACTGTAAGTCTGTAATCCTTACTGAATGTTTTGGGAAACAGTTATGAAGACTAGAAGATACTTGAGTTAGACTTAAGCAGTTCAAAAATCATGAACTTGTGCTTCCAGCCTAGGTGTCAAGAAATATTATGAATTACTGCTGTCTAGTGGGTTATTCCACTGATGGCTCTAATGTTGGAATGTTAATTGACGCCATAGTTTGCAAGGTTATTTTGTGACTGCAATTGTATTTGACATTATTGATTTATTTTTTTTAAAAGGTCTAATGCATAAGCTGCCTCTGATCTAGAGGAGTGAAAGGTACCTTTGATCTTTTAAGGCATGCCAAGGAAGAAGCAATAGCAAACCTGTTACTTGGATCTGTCTGTGATAAAGGCTAGACAGCAAGGAACAACTTGTTTTCTGATACGTAAACTGCAAATAAGTTCTGTAGTGGAGAAGCTGACTTATCCTCAATGCAGATTTGTCAGCAGTTCAGATGTGAGCAGGTATGGTTCAGGACTTTGAAACGTGTTTCCTCTTCAGCAAGTGAGAGGACACTGGAATTCTATGTTCATTTAGTTAAAATAAAATAATTTTTATCTTCTAGAGTAAATCCATGCTTCTGTTATAAAACGGGGGGTACCTGCAAGCTGTCATGAGACTAGAAAGTTTGTTTCTTTTGCCAGATATGCAGAGGACATGCTTTTTAGGTCACCAGACAGTCTGCTCTGAGTATGGTATTTCAGACATTTTTATTACACATTGAGAAGAAAAATAATTGTAACTTGACACTTGGCTTATTGCACAGCTACTGTTCCTGTGTTTTGGAATTGCTTCTTTTGCCTAAGGCATCTTTAACTGTAAAGACTGAGCTTTGCCCTCAGGTCTGTGATTTAGGTACCTGTGTTGCCTTTGAGAAGGCTGCACATCTCAGAAACAGCAGCAGCTGCTTGCTTGTAGGTGAGGAGATACCCAGGCTCCAGGGTTGCTTGTTTGTGTACTCAGTGTTCTTTAGACTTTTGGGCTTGCAGCCACTTAGATACCCAACCAGCCAAGCATTTGCTTGGCCACAGTGTCTGATTGCTGCCTTGGATTCAGCCCAGTGCAGATCCAGCCCCTTTCCCACTGTGACATACCTCATCTTTTCCTTCCCTGTCGCTGGTGCAAGGTGGACTTTCTGGATTTATGTGCCTGCTGCAGTCACAATTGGTGCCTGAAGACACACCACTCTGCTTTAGGGAAATTTTTTCTGGCTTGTATCCATCTGCTTGAAGTAAGGAGGAAATGCACTGAAGTTACTCTGTGCCCTTCCACCGCCGTGGCTCGTTATGGGCTGTATCAGCTTACAGTGACTCTGATGTCGTTCAGCATTCCTCTGTCAGCACTGAGCTGCCTGGGCTCCCGTTGCTGTGTCAGCTTTATGTGCTCACCTACTCTGCTTCTGGGGCTGCTTAGTCAGTTCAGCACAGCCCTGAAAGTTTGATACCGAAGTTCTTTCGCACTTCTGCGGTCTTGTGTCCTTCTGTGCCTGGCTGATGAACTGATGTGAGCACTAAGAGGTGGCATTTTCTTTTAGATCAAGTTCTTTGCTGTGTGACAGCAATGGTATGGCACCTTTTCAGTCTGCTAATATAGTAGGGCAAGGTTGTATGGGCATTGCTCTGCAGGCCCAGCACATCTGTACCTTGCTACAGCGTGGGAGTTGACACTTGTTCCTTCTGTCCTAATTGGTGCTGGGCTTATTTAATATAGAGTGCCTGTGCTAATTAGGGGCAGCCTGATTTACACTGAGCATTTGAGATAACAATTACATAGTTCTATGAACATACTGGACCAAGGAGGAAGCTGAGACAGGTATTCTTGCTGCCAGTTGTGAGTTTATGCTACTCAACTTTATTCTTGCCTAATTTCTCTTATCTGACCTCAAGGAGATTCCATAGTTTTCATAGTGAAAGACCAGTCAATTTCTAACGTCAGAGGATTGCAAAAACCTTTCTTGTTGTGTGGCTTCCTGCTTTTTAGACACTTTTATTGTACTTTTCATATCACAAGATCCTTCAGTCCAGTACAGATGTATGTCTTTAAGTAGCTATCCTTTTGGGGTAGCCTCTGCCTATCTTAAAAATTAGTGATCTTTTCTGTCACCTCTTTTCCTACTTTTTCCAGTGGGATTTCTCCCAATACATCACATGAGTAGCTCACTAGGCTGGCCAGCTATTTGGGGTCCTTTCCTCTGAAGAAGACAATCATAGAATCTTTAAGGTTGAAAAATATGTCCAAGATCAAGTCCAACCTTTGACTGAACACCACCTTGTTAACTAAACCATAGCTCTAAGTGCCATGTCCAGTTCTTTCTTGGAAAACTTCCAGGAGTGCTGACTCCACCACTTTCCTGGACAGCCCATTACAATGCTTAACCTTTTCAGTCAAGAAATTCTTCCTGATGTCCAACCTGAACCTCTTCTGATGCAGTTTGAGGCCATTTTCTCTTGTCCTGTGGAATCAGGTACTTGAAACAGCCACTGTGTTACCCAGCCTTGTCTTTGGTTCCTTGTCACTGTTTTGCAGAGCTCTTGATTCCAAAGCCTTCCTTCCTCCCTGGAATGAATTGCATTCATTCCCCTTCATCCCTCAGCTTTTTCAAGAGATTCTTTTTGCAGGGCTTGTTCAACAAGAAGCTCTTATGCTGAGGTGTGACTAGGCTTTGGAGTGCCCTTTTGTAAAAGGAACTTCCCAGCCTACTCTTGTGCAGGCTGTGTGGGCATTTTGCACATTCAAGTTCAGGATGGTGACCCTGGCAAACAGTCTGCTGGTCATTCAGAAAAGAAGGCTCTGGATTTGTGTTGTTACTAAGTGTCTATTCCATACTACAAAGCAGTCGGTTCACTTTGCACTTCCAGTTGGTTGGGGTTGCGCTCCCAGCCAAGAGGAAACACCACAGGCTTTATTAAAGGGTGTTCTTGAATAGTGTCCCTCTAATTAGAGGGCTGCTCCATACACTTCATTTGCTTCCTCAGATCCTGATCATTCCACAGTTCCTGCGTTCTCCGTTATCCATGGATTTAGCTTCCTGGAATTCTTCCTAGAGCCTTAGGCTTGTAGAGCCAAGACTATACTTCCTATCCACTACAGCAGGACTCATGTCTCTACCTAGGCCTTCTAGGAAGTCCTTGAGGCTCCTTCCACTAGAGGGAAATGCAGAACTTGTTGAAGTATGCATTTGGATCTGTTTCAACCTGTTTCCAAATCAGGGAGATGCAGCAAAGGCATCCAAGTGCCACCTGAGGTTTGAATGGCCACGTGCTGCCATGCTGTGCAATTCCTGGACTTTGAGTATCTGCCACATGGTCACCCAGAGCTCCATCCGTGCTGAACTGCCACTAAAGCACCCAGCAATAATGCAGCTTTTGGGAGAACAGTCCCAAAATTGCATTTGTGTGACGGGACTCTAGATCTCCCAAGTGTTTCATGTTCACTGCTTGGAATTGTCTGTGTTGGAATGTGAGTGTGGTCTAAGCTGAAAGACATGAATTACTCTCCAATGCCTGGTGTTTCTCAAGGTGTGTTCCTTGCACACATACCTCCAGATATATTGATGTTGGCTACCTGAGTGTCAAGGGAATTAAAAATGGCAAGAGTGGATATGTAGATTTCAAGTCTTGAAGATTTAATCCACTTTTCCTTTCCATTCATAGCCACTTAAACAAAGAAGCAAATTCACAGTTGTCTGGTAAACATCAAATATTAGATGATAAAATCTTTTAACACAGTTCAGAACAGAGGTTTTTTCCTTCATCATAAGATCTTTGAGCTTACAGATGATCTGAAGCCTTCAGGCAGTGCAGCTAGAGTAGGAAAAGGTACCATTTATTGTGTATGGTGACATTATTTCTCTTTTGGTGCTTGAAGAACACATCTCCTAAAATTTACCCCACATGAGTAGTGCCCTCATTTGCAACAGTTCTCTGTGCAGTACTGTCACTATAGTCTAACACTTCATAATGTTGGATTTGCTCAGTCTTTGTTTTGTAAGTTAATTCCATTACTGTACATTTCCTTATTTTGATTTCTTTTCATTGCAGAGCCTCCCTTTCCAAAAAATACAACACAGCATCACAGCACAAGACCACCAACCTACACCTGATAGCTGTATACTCAGTATGGTAGTGGGACAGCTTAAGGTAAACTCTTTCCATTACAGGTTCATGAGTGCTTATGTCTTAGATTTTTGCAGGATTCTAAATCATCTGATTTCTGAATACATTTCAATGCTTTTGTGAGTGGGGAAGGAACCAGGGATAAGCTTGCCTTGGGATATTGCTCCTCTGCTGTTTGAGACTGTCAAGAAATGCTCCTTCCTTCAGATACCTAGTTCTAGGTAAACCACCTGTAATTTGACAGTCATGTTCTGCCAAGCAAAGTATTGTGCAGACAAATTCCATGTGGGTTCTAGAGGCATCAGTATTTCCCTTACCCTGATGCAGTAAGGTTTTGGTGTCCTCTGTTGCATTTAAAAGCATTGTCACAGTGTTCTTGGACAATTTAAGCACATCTAGTTTAACACCCTCCTTGATGTAATGTTTGCATTGAGCTCTGATTTAGCAGACTTCATTTTGTTAACTGACCACCCTTCAGGGAGTCCATACATTTTTCTGCTGTCACAGGACACAAGAATACAATCCTGGTGTTAGTACAGGCCAGTACCTCTGTAATCAAAACTGATTCAGCAATGGGAGTGTTGCCTCTGAGATCAGACAGTTATTGTTGAAACAGCTGCTTCTTGTGAAGAATCAGGTTATTTTTCAGGCTTAGTATGACCATATTGCTGTGTGAGTGATACTACTGAACTGTGTAAACTTACTCAGTCTGCCAATATACCAGGGCCACATACTTGTAAATTAATGAAACTGCTTATGAATGAAAGACATTGTCCTGGAATTTGCAAAAAATACTCAGGACATAAAATCAGCTGCAGGCAGAACTTGCTCACAGTGGGTGGTATTAGTTTAAAAAATGTGAAATTACGTAGCAGTAGTTAAGTTATCAGAGTTCGTTTGGTCCAGCCATGCTGTGAAGTCAGGTCTCTAATGCCAAGCAGTCTTTAGAGTTACCTGCACCCACTTTGTTTTAAAATAGCTGTTTAGATTTCCTTTTCCTGCTCACTTGATCTACTATCAAAGCATTCAAACTTCCACTGACACTGTACTTTTTACTAAGCAGACATAGGACTGAATGTTTGAATCTGCTTGCTAAGCTGTTCTCTTTGGGCTGGGCAGCTGAGAAGAGCAGTGCCCAGTGTAATGCATCCACTGCTAAACCTAACATAGGAAACCTTGGCTCTCATTAAAGTTGCTCCTGCTTCCTAGCTGCAAGTTGGATTCCAGCTTTTTTGTTGTTCAGTCCCAGCTGCACACACTCTGTGGAAAAGCAGCCACACGTGGCCATGGAAAGCACTGAATTGCAGGACTGACATGCTGGTCCCCTCAGCCTTGCTCTTGGGTGTGCACAAAATTCTGTGATGTGATCAAGACCTTTGACTTTATGTCTTGGGCCAGTCACATCTGCACCTGGTTTTGCACAGTCATGTTTTAAGGTTACTGCATAATTATCAAGCAGATTGAAGCTTGCAGCAGTGATTGTGTTGGATCCTGTGGCAAGATACCAAGTTCTAAAAGATTCTAAAAGTTTTTGTGTTTTCTTAAACCATAATCCATTAATATGGAGGGACTGTAAATTCAGTCTGGGAGCTTTCCTTAAAACCATGACTTGGAGTAGTATTTTCAGATGTATTTTTTAACCTCTGAGTAATTTCAGCAAGCTGAAATTACTCAGTATATTTTGGGGATCATGTGTTAGAGCATCCAGGTATTTCGAGAGAAAATACTGGGTTAAAGTATGCCTACTGTCATGATCAAATCCAACTTGCTTGTGAATTTTTAGTAAGTGAGGAAAAGTTTTTCCACTCTTCACATTTATATGTCTCAAACCTTAGCTTTAAAAATCACATCTTAATCCCTGGGAATGCTGCTTCTCACAGAACAAGTGTCCAGAAAGTCAAAGTCAACTTAAAATCTTAACTTCATGCTTCTGCCCTGTGTGATATTTATAGAGGTGGACAAATGAATTATCAGGAACAGTCTGTGGCGTGAATGAACCTGGCTGTCTTACACAGTGAATGCTTTTCTCTCATGCCAATTCACACATGCTGACAGCCATTCTGCTGCATCTCAGTGCTGCTCTGTGTACAACACAGTAACTGAGAACAACTGGGTGCAGGTGGTGCATTTTAACAAGTGGCTCACATGTAGCTCCAGTTGAGCAGGGAACACTAACAGGCAAACGTGGGGCTGCATACTCACTGTTATTTAAAGCTGCCTTCTTAGTGATGTAGCTGCTCAGCCTGCATATATTGCTCTCAAGGAGAACTGTAAGAGAATTTTACACAAGGAAGGGCACTTCAAGACCACCGGTAGCATGCTAATATACCAGTATGAACTATAAATAAATTTTAAAAAACCCAACCTTTTGCAGCAAGCAGAATAATCACCTGCACTGAGGGGCTGGGGCACAACAGCTTCTTTGAGAAAATGCTGCACAGTAACAGAGCATCTGAGTAGGTGACTGTCACTAGCAGGGATCTAACTGGCTGGCTAAAGCAGTGCAGTAATTGCTTTCAAAGATGCTCTTTAATGGATGCTGATAGTATTAATGTTTGGGTGGGGTTATCCTTTTGTAGAGGTATAATAAATATACATCCACTTATTCTAATCATATTGGGTTTTATTGCTGTTCACAGCCTGAGTGCTGCTTGCTTGCTTCAACTAGGAAAGAGTGAGCATCAGTTTAAGCCTTTAGGAGTGAATTCCTTTTGGTGTGACCCTGCTTTGCCAATATTCATCCAGAATGTCACCCAATATCTTCAGTGTGCTTCACCTAGTAATGTATTTCTCCTGTCATGCTCAGGCAGATGATGACCAAGTTCTAGGCTTCCACCAAACCTTTTTGTTGAAAAATTTTCAAGGTGCCTGGGTGTGCACCAACGAAGTCTTCAGGCTAGCCCTCCACAACGTTTAACCCTCTGCCTTCCCTGTCTTCCAGTCCTCGCTGTCCTGGTTGAGTAAGGAGTGCTCTCTTCTCGCCCTTCTGTCCCTTGAGCTTGGCTGAGAAGCATGGCTGTGGCTTGTGTGTTCTCAGAGCCATGTGGCAGATCTGTGGCTCTCCCCAGAGTGTGATTTTTGAAGTGATCATGCAGAATTAATTGTGAATAACTAATTGTTATGCAGTGTTTCCTAGTCTTAAAAGGAAAAGGAAATTTGCAATTAAAATCACTGGGTATTTTTGTAATGCATGCTGAACACATAAAGCATTGCTTAAAGCCTGTTAAATAAGGCTTAACATCTGAAAGAACCTGCAGTCTCAAGTAATTATCCTTTCCTTTGAGGTAAGGGTTGTTGCAACCCTGCAGGTCAATCAATAATTGCTGGGAGTGCTGGTGAAGAAGTAAAACTCTCTCTGACCAGGCAAGGGGAGGAAAATTGTGTAGCTAAACCTGAAATGCAAAGCAGTGTTGCATCTGAAACTCTGACATGACTCACTGCTCTGTGAGCTGAGGACTTCCTTTTGAGCCTCCAGGTCAGAAAGGATGTAGAAAAACTGAGAGGTCAAAAAGCTGCCAAGATGGTGGGCGATGAAGAGCTTGTGGAACTGGGAGAGGAGGTGGCTAAGGGCATCTGCTTGAAATGTCAGTGAAAAGTAATTGAGTACTTCCAAAAACCTGAAAGCAAACTCTTCTCAGTGGTGCCAGACAGTGTAACAAGGGACAGTGGTTAGAAACCACATAACTTGGAATGTCCAGATGGGACACAAGGAAGATTTTAATGAGAAGACTGAAACCCTGGGAAGTGGTGCCTGGACACCTTGTGAAACATCTATTCTGTGAGAAGTGGAAGACTGCTAGACAAGGCTGTGGCTGATGCAGTGAAAGATATCCCTGCCCAGGACAGGAGGATTGGATTAGATGATCTCTAAAGGTCCCTTCTGTGGACCTTTACCATCTCTGGACCAGCCTGTTCTGTGGTTCTGTGATGCAGAGCTGCTGTAGTCTGTGCTCATGTTGAGCAAAAGGCTGGCCTGGAAATCAGAGGATTCTTTCAGTATGATTCTGGGACTTGTTTAATTTTTGTTTTAATTCAATGATGTCATGGAAGAATTTGAACTGCACAAAGGAAAGTTTTATATGAAGACTAAAGCCCCTTGTGTTTCGAGCCTGGGCTCACATGTAGAATGCAAATCCTGAGTTAGACATGCCTGAATTTGGAGTGGAAAGTAAAGACAGAGAGTTTCAGTGGTGTTATCTGAGCTGGGATGAAGATCTAAACTAAAATGGAATAGGATTAGTCTGTGTTTTCTGTGGCATCTTGTGAACCTTTGCTGTGTGCTAATATTACATAGCCAAAATTGGGGAATGGACTATAAAGTATATACTTCACCTTGAATATAGTCTAGGATTTTCCTTGTTTTTAAAGTAAACTGCTCCTCTATGTTATGAAGGGATAACATAAAAGGAATAAAGAAAATGATAACGTGTGACTTCATTGCGGGAGTTTGCTGTCTGTACCACACCAAATGTTTTGGGGAGAATTCCCTTTTAGTCTTTCTTCATATGTCCAGCCCTGAATTTCTTAAGAAAGGAGGAAGTTCTCCTTAAGCCAAAGCATCAAGAGCTGCAGTGCTCTTATCAGAAATCAAGGAGACCTACACTAAAGCTTGTCTGGCAGTGGTATTTTTTTTCCAGAGGTACATTTTAAAGCATACTCATGTGAGTAATGACAAGCTCAAATTTGGTGTGAAAAGTACTTATGCAACTTCTAGTAGATGTCTCAATGACCTGCAACAAGGAGGGCAACTGGGAGTTGCAAAGCTGCCAGCTCCCAAGGCGTGGTGAGGCTCTCCTGGGATGGGTTTCATTGGACACCCAGGAGAAGCTGGAAAAGGCACAAACCCACGGGCTTCAGTGCACAGGCCACCTCTACAGCACAGATATGGGCACGTGCAGTAGGGATAACACTTCCTTTGGAATAACTGCCATGCCTGCTGTCACACGTGCTGATGCACGCCATGGACGGCTGCGCTAGCCCAGCAGAGCTGCTGCTGTCCACACTGGGCTCCTTCCTGGGGAGCTGTGCCTCGAGCAAAGCAGGAGTGTACTGAGGGACAAGCTGGCCTCTTTGCTGGACAGTGACTGCTGGCACTTGTCTTGCTTTAAGGATTTTTTTCCTCTCACTCATGTGTTGACTTGCTCATATTCCTGGAGCTGGCCTCTTTGCTGGACAGTGACTGCTGGCACTTGTCTTGCTTTAAGGATTTTTTCCTCTCACTCATGTGTTGAACACTGACTTGCTCGTATTCCTACTTGTTGCCTTCCTAATTTCTGGCTGTAGTAGTTTCCTCATTCACTTTCTTCTTCATGGTTTTGTAGTAATTTGTCTTGCCTGTTCTCCCCATTCTCATTATGTTTTTGCAAACTGGAAAGTTGTACTCAATTTACTTTCTTCAGTAGGAAAGCATCCTGTAGCTGGATAATTTTTCTTGTCCTTTTATGACTTTACTGTAGCATTTTATTTTTTTAACTTATAAGAAATGCATGCAGGATTTGATATGTGGGTGCTCTTTGCCTACTTATGTACTTGCTTACTTCTGGGTTTTGGTTCTTTGTTCTTCCCTAACAACTGCTAACCCTGTGTTTGCCTTGATAGCTTTAGGCTCTCAGCTGGTTTAATAAATAAATATCTATTATTATTTCAGTATCACTTTCATGAGGGGCCAGTCTATGGCCCACTTTGGTTTACTGTGTGAATTAGCATACACTTAGAGAAACTGCACCTCACCTACACCCTTAACAACCAGGCAGTTGTCACTGTGAAATGCTTGCAGTGGTGAATGCTTCCTTTCCACACACCTGCTGCCAGCAGTGTTCTGGCACACTTGCTGTTCTGTGATATAACTGATGTCCTTTGCAAGTTGGCCCTTAAAGCTGACTTGTTGCACAGTCCATGAATACTTTTTTTAAGTAAAGTTTCTTTTTTGTTTATTCTGTATCTGCTCTTCAGACTTTTCACTTGTTCTCAGTGAACAGCAGCAGGGCATTGCCAATGAACAGTCAGTGCTTTGGCAGCCTGTTTCATGAGCTGCTCTGGCTGCTGCATTTCCAGCCTCTTTTTTATAAATTTCCTCCCTTTTCTGAAGCTGAATAGTCATGTGTTGAAAAAATAAAACTTCAAATCCTCCAAAAATGCTGAATTGAACACACTACAGCCATCACCAGGAGCTTGTTTTGTAGTTGGGCCTGTGTGCTGTTCAGATTAAATCCTGTTGTGATTTCCAGCTGATTGATTTGGGAATCATTTCTGATATTTTGAGGATTTAATTCCTGTACGATGTCTCTGAGAAGATGAGTAAATAAACATTAAGTGGGAGTACTGGTCTGCTTTTTTAGTAATATTTTCTAAATTATTTTCTGCTTTTTTAGTAATATTGTAAATACCCAGACATATTGTCAGGCAGGAGTGGAGGCACTGCTGCAGCCATTCCCTGTGCTTAGAACACATTGTCACAGCTGTAGTGAATGCTCTGCTCCCTTCCAGCTGTTGCTGGACACTGGAAGTGGGAAGTGCTGTGTTTCTGGCCAGCTGCACCTGCTCTGGCAAGGCTTTCTAAGCCCAGACCACCTGGATCATGCAGGCAACGTGTTGATACCAACCTCTACAGAAACTCCCTTCTGCCATCCACCCAAAGTCCAGCAGTTAAAAATTGAACCACTGTCTTTTAAGCTTAATTCCTGGGCAAGGCATTTGTGATTCAACACTGAGGCAGGCATGTTCCATCAGTGTGGAGAGTGACATGTCAGCAAGTCTTCCACAAAACCCCAGCTTCAGATGCTGTTGCAGGATTTTCATGTCTCTGGCCTGGGTGTTTGTCTCCAAAGGCCCTCAGAACAGACCCTCTGGTGGAATTGGTGTCTCCTGGGGTACTGCACATCTTACAGCATGTAATGTCACTGTTAATGTTAGCTTGAAGTTGTCTCATCATGAGTTTTGGAATAAGTTTCTCAAAAAAAATGAGTGTTTTGAACCTTTTTTCCCCCCCTCTCTTTCTACAGGCTGATGAAGATCCTATCATGGGATTCCACCAGATATTTCTATTAAAGAACATCAACGATGCCTGGGTTTGCACCAATGACATGTTCAGGCTAGCACTGCACAACTTCGGCTGAGCAGCCCATCTTTTTTTTTTTTTTTTCGTTTTCCTCCTCTCCTCTTAACTGGTATTATTCACACTCACGGAACATTCCAAATATCATACACAAACCTGCAGCACTGCAGAGCGTGAGCAAGCAAGACTTGTGACCTGCCCTTCTGCTGAGTTTACATTGTCACTAGATGAGTTTCTTGTGCATGATGTTTGGAAGTTAGACTTAGCTGCATTTGATAAGAGAAATTTGTGTTGTACCAGCATGCCTCGGAAAGAATTTATAATGCAAAAGGTTGTTGTTTATGTACTGACAAGATGCTCTATAACCCAAAGAAATGAAAGAACAGCAGCCTGTACAGCCCAGTTATTGATTTGTTCAGATGTTTCAATGCTACATTACACAATAAAACAGAGATTTTCTTAAAAGTTTAAATTATTTTTATGAGTTGGCTGTGGAGTGTGTGTGATAGTGCTTGCTGGGGGAGAGACTGTCTGTGTGTTGGGGAAATGCCTGCAGCGCTGGAGCTCGAGCTGAACGATTCCTGACAGTTTTAGCAGTGAGTGCAGGGCAGCTCTGCCCTCCTGCATACACCTTTTCCTCTCCTCAGCAGCTCTCACAACAGAGCCCTCTGGCTCAGTTTTTAGCATCGACAGCTTAGTTCTCACCTGTTGTATTTTACCGATGCAAATTCCCCACATAGTACAACAGCACGACAACAGCGCTGGTAGCCTGCAGTCAGTCAGTGCCCTCTCAGAGCCAAAGGACAGCGCTGTGTTCTTCACCGGCGAGCCCGGGGATGGCTGCCGTGCCGCCCTCCAGGAGCTTGTGCTGCGGCTCTGCTCAGGCTCCGCGCTGTGCTGTGCGTGCAGCGGGCTCGCCTTCGGCGGCAGCCGCTGCGAGCAGGGCTGCGCCCAGGGCGGCCGTCCCCAGCCTGGC